ACAAAAAAAAAAAAAAGGGAAAAAAAAGGGAAAAAGGGGGGGATTTTCCCCCATTTTCCCCCCTTTATCCCCCCTTCCCCTCCCAAAACAAAAAATTCCCGGTTTTTTTTTTTATAAGAAAGGTCCCCCCATCCTAATTCTTTTTCCCCTACCAAACCGTGGGGAGTACAATCCCTATTCTCTTCCACACATAAACAAATGTAAATGCAAACACATATCAAAAATATACAACACACAATCAATACAACCATAAATGTCCTGTATCAATTCAGCAAGTCAAAATTGATGACTTAATCAATGATTTATTTTTTCAGTTATTCCTATTCCACATGCAGTGGTCTACACAAAGCACGACTATCCTCCACCGATAGCCCAACACAGTTTATTTCTAGACTTGGAAACAAATATACCAAACAATTCATTAGGTTGAGTGATATAAATTATCCAACCTTACACCATTTAATCAATAAATTCCTCAATTTCATGAATTAAACCAATTTCCCCCCAAATCCCTTAAATTAATTATACAAATTAATTAATTAATACAATAGGGTTTTTTCCCCAAAATTATGAAAGTAACCCAAACATAATCAATATACCAAAACTTAAGAACAAAACTTATAAAATGGAGTAGGAAATCCCTACCTCGAAGAAGACAACCAAATGGAGAAGACAGAGATGAATACCCAAATACCAATGTGCTCCAAATCGCCAAATGTTCAGATTAAAATGAAAGCCCTCGACTCCCTTTATCTTTTTAATAAAGCAATTAGGGGTAGAAACACACTCTAAATAGATCAAACCTAAGAGAGAAGGTGAGTAGGGGAGAGAGAGAGGTCGGACCTAGGGTTTGGAATCAAAAAGAAGTTGAAAAAGACTGATCAAAACCCGCTCTCTAGCGTAATTAAACTGGACAGGCTCGCTCGAGCGAAGACTTGGTCGCTCGAGCGACCCAGACACAAGAAAATCTGCTCGTAGCAAAAGAAAATCTCGCTCGAGCCAAAAATGCAATGGCTACAGGTCCCATACTGGACGCCATCTCTCGCCTCGAGGCGACTAAACCCAGCTCGAGCGAAGAACCAAAAACAACAGCTCGCTCGAAGCGACCAACTCCTCGCTCGAGCGAAGAAACCAAAAATCTGGACAGCACCACTTTGGTTTTAAACCCAACCAACCTGAAAACAAATCTGCCCCAACACATCCTATAACTCCAAATAAGAAAATAAGGGACAACAACAACAATTATACAATGACAGAATCTACGGAACCTAAAGTTCCGGATACAATAATCAAATGGGAAAAGACCGGGGTCGCTATACAGGCCGTTCGCGACGTGTGGCACTTGCCCCCGCACGTGCGGCTCTGATCCTCGCAAGTGCCGCACCTTCCGTACTCCACTTCCGCACCTGCATATAATGCAGTATGAAATCTTCCAAGCCCACACTTCCCCTCACGTACAGCCTCATCGCCTGCACATGCAGCCCCTGGTCCTCCAGCCCAAAATTTTTTCTGGTTCGATTCTAGGACGCTCCGGACTCAACCGAGCACCCTTGAACTGTGTAACACTCAAACCCGGAATAAAACAAGGACCGAATTTTAGAAAAAGCTTTCGAACACAACAAACCCAGAGGACAATAAGTGAAGCTGACGTATATGAAACCGGTCATCACAATACATAACTGTGGCGCGGGTTAGCAACTATTAGAGTCATGTGCTCAATCTTAATTCCTCATGAGAGTTTTAGGAAATAGCCTTGTTCCCATGGTCGCGGGCTTCAATGACGCCGTCACCTTAGGTGAATCCTTCAAAGATAGAAAGGCGAATATCCTATCCTTGCGAGAGTATGCCTGCCTCGGATTCATTTAGAGTAAATACTCTTCCTTAACCATCACATTTATATCAGCACTAATATCTTAAGGATGAGCAAGAGAATATAAATAATAAATTTAATAAAGTCTCCTTCTTTAAAGTGCTGGAATATGAGTCACACTATAAGGATTGTTCCTACCCGTTAAACTTCTTCAAAGGATCTCCAATCACAGAAGTCGGGTTACTTCCTTAGTTGACTCTCTGTGGGCTTAGATCCATCCCCCTCAATAAATCTAAGACTACACTCATAGATATACTTTTTGTTAATTGATCAGCAATTATTCTTTTCAGATTTCACAAATTCAAAGATACAACATTTTCATTCACCAAACTTTTATATAGATTTATACCGCACTTGCATATGCCTATTCCTCTTTTAATTAGTATGTGCTTGTCTCACAAGTTCTATTATACCTCTATTGTCACAAATGAGTGGAAATAGCAGGTATAGGATATTTCACAAGTGAAATATCAAAGAGTAAATTTTTAATCCACTCAGCTTCAGTACACGTAGTATCTAAGGCTATAAGTTTTGATTCTATTGTACTTCTAGAGATAACAGTTTGTTTTTTAGAACCCAAGATATTGCTGCTCCACCCAACACAAATATATACCCAATAGTAGACTTAACATCTAAGTTATCTAGTTATCCAAATTAGCATCGCTATAATCTTCTACCACATTAGGAAAACCACTAAAGCAAAGTGAATAATCTAGAGTTCCTCTTAGATATTTTAAAAACTCATCCCATATCAATCAATGATCTTTACCAGGAATATAAGTATGTCTACTTAATCTCCCAACAGCATAAACAATATCAGGTCTAGTCTTATTAGCAATATAGAGAAGTGATCCGATAATTTGAGAATATCTAAGTTGAGATACAAGTGCACCATTATTTTTCTTCAAATTCTTGCTAGGATTAAAAGGAGTTGAATAGGTTTGAGATTATAATAATCAAACTTTTTTTTTTAAACATTTTCTCTACGATTCTAGATTCATTAAATGTAATACCTTTGGGTTTTTTTCCTCCAATTTCATACCCAAAATTATGTAAGCTTCTCCTAAATCTTTCATATCAAATATTGAAGATAAATAAAATTTCACATTTTTAATTATCTCTAAATTTGTTCCAAATAATAAGATATCATCAACATATAAACACAAAATAATATACTCTTCATTATCTTCTTTATAGTACACACATCTATCATGCCCATTGATCTTAAAACCAAATTCTAAAATTATCTTATCAAACTTTTCATGCCACTGTTTAAAACTTTGCTTAAGTCCATATAAAGATTTAACCAACTTGCAAACTTTATGTTCTTGTCCTTTAACCACAAAACCTTCGAGTTGCTCCATATAAATTTCTTTATCTAAATCTCTATTCAAAAAAGCAATTTTAATGTCCGTTTGATGAATTTCTAAATTATAAATGGATGTTAGAGCAATTAAGATTCCGATGGTTGTAATCCTAGAAACAAGTGAATATGTATAGAAATAATCTATTCATTTCGTTTGTGTAAATCCCTTGGCTACTAATCTTGCCTTATATTTATCTATACTTCCATCAGGTTTTAATTTCTTTCTAAATACCCATTTGCAACCGATAGCTTTACTCCCAGGAGGTAGATTAGTCAACTCCCAAGTATTATTTTGAAGTATAGATTCAATCTCACTATCAATGGCTTCCTTCCAAATTGGTGCATCTAAAGACAACATAGTTTCTATAATAGTATTTGGTTCTCCTTCAATTAAAAAGGTACAAAAATCATCTCCAGAGGTTTTCTCTATTATAGTTCTCTTACTCTTTCTAGGTTCTATGTCTAGATGTTTAGAATCATCTCTCAAAGGAATAACACTAGCACTAGTAGTAGAAGTTCTATTTACAACCTGATTTGAGATCCTAGTTTTATATGGAAAAATATCTTAAAAAAATGCGAGATTCAATTATTGTATTATTAGTAATTTCACTAATTTCATAATTTATTACTAGAAATCTATTAGCACTACTATTTTGAGCATATCCTAAGAAAGCGGCATCAATAGTTTTGGGTCCTATTTTCTTATGTTTAGGTTCTATAATTGCTACTTTTGCTAAACACCCCCACACTTTTAACATTTTAAGATTAGGTACTCATTTTTTTCCAGATTTCATAAGGTGTTTTATCATTATCATTCACAATTACTCTATTTAATATAATACAAGCAGTGAGTATCACTTCCCGCCACAAGCTCTCCGGTAATAACTAAGAAGCATTGCATTTATCATATCCATTAGAGTTCTATTTTTCCTTTCCACTATCCCATTAGATTGTGGAGACTAAGGTGGGGTTAATTCATGAATAATTCCATGTTATTCACAAAAAGTAGTAACGGTACCTACATTATATTTGCCTCCTCTATCAGATCTAAGCTTCGTAATCTTTCTTTGTAATTGATTTTCGACTTCAGCTTTATAAATTTTAAATTTACTAAAAACTTTATCTTTGGTTTTAATTAAATATAAGTAACAAAACTTAGAACAACCATCTATAAAGGTTACAAAATATTTATTTCTTGCCCTAGTTAGTGGTCTATTAGAATCACAAACGTCACTATGTATAAGGTCTAAGAGTTGTGAACTTTTTTCTACAGATTTCTAAGGTTTCTTAGGTTGTTTTGCTTGCACACATATTTCACATTTGCGTTTGACATCAATAGGTGATTTAGGTACTAATTTTAAATCCATCATTTTTCTAATTTTCCTTAAATTCACATGTCCAACTCTTCTATGCCACAAATCACAAATTTCAATATTCAAAATATTATGAGAGATATAATTAACTTCAAAAAATACATTCAATTTAAATAAACCATCACATAAAAAACCTTTACCAATAAAAATATCATTTTTACATATTAAAATTTTATTCAATTCCATTACAATTTTGTAACCTAACTGTACTAAACACGATCCACTAATAAGATTTCTTCTAACTTCAAGAACATATCGCATATCTCTCAAAGTTAAGATTTTTCCAGAAGTCATCTTCAAATCTATATCTCCAATGCCAAGTATCGGTGCAATTGATCCATTCTCCAAAGTTACACTTCTTCCACTTGATTTCTAGAAAGTTTTAAAATAACCACAATCAAAACACACATGTATATTAGCCCCAGAACCTAACCACCAATCTTGATATTCAAAAGTAGAATTAATTTCAGGATTATACGTAAAAAATGGTTCGGCAATTTCTTCTTTCTCCAAAATCATATTCACTTAAGCATTATGGCCTTGATTTCTTTGCTTATTATTGAACCTTGGTTTATACTCATCAGTCTTCTTAAAAACAACAATCCTTAGCATAATGATTGGCTCTTCCACATACATAGCACAACCTTTTGCCATTCCTTTGTCCCTTAAAATCATTAGCATTGGCTTAGTAGTTGTTATTATGGTGTTTGCCATTTTGGCCTCTAGATTTAAACTTAAGGTTGTTCTTCAAAATTTTATCTTTAGGTTGAAAGTTATTCCTATTGTTGGAACTATTTTTATTCCCATTCTCCACCAAATTTACCTTGGGAGTTTTCTCTTTTCCCTTTTCTAGATTTGACCTATGCTTCTTTTCCACCCTAAGTGTATTGACTAGTTGAGTTAATGACAAATCTCCTTGTTTGTGCCTAAGACGCTTAGCAAAGTCATTCCAAGATAAATGTAATCTATATAATAAGGGAAGAAGGTTTTTGAAAATGTCCTAAAATGTCTTAGAGATACATTTTGATCCAATGGTTTAAATTATCTCATCTCAACTTCAATGGTTGAGATGCCTTTATTTCCCGCCCAAATGTTCTTTGAGCATCAACCGAGATCTAACGGTCCAAAATGTAAATTGAAAAAATGAGTACTGGGAGTCGAGTGTTCTGTAAATCCTTCTTGGTACCTTCACCCGCTTCGACTGAACTCATTCGATACAAGTTTTTCAGAGCTCGAACTTCCTCATCCAACCCTTCTAGGGTTTTTCGAATGGCCACCAAGCCTCCTTCTTCATCCTCTAATGGCGATTCATCCTCGGTCCTCGCTTCTTCTGCCATCAATTTTCTCTCTCTGTGTCACCGTTTCAAGGTATTTTTGTTTAGATATGTATATATGTATGATTCATTTGAGTGTTGATTGTTTTGGACTCGAATATCATTGCCTAAATTTGTGATTTTGTTTTTTGGGTTTGGGGGTTTTTTGGGGTTTGATCAGACGACGAAGAGAACGGGATGGATGCGAAGGTGTTGAGAATCCAGAGTCCATAGCCAATCATATGTATCGAATGGGGTTGATGGCTCTCATTGCCTTTGACAGACTTCTCTCTGACATCTCTATATATGGTACTATGAATATGTATGTATAGATGAAGTGTAAAGATGCAAAGTTGGGAATAAATTTGCAGCTCATGTGCTTCTCCTCTCTAACAGGGCATGGTATGTGTAGAGTAATATTTTGCAATATTGGGGTTTGTGTTGGGTTAATCCCTGCAATCCTTAGGGATTGGTGGTTTAGTGGTTTGAACTAAAACATGAGGGTTTGAGAACATAACTCGGGAATTATTGTTCTACTAGGTTTTATGGAGCCTATGATTATCAAAGAATGAAGAAGTTTTCAACAAGAAGCTAATCCCCTGGATTGATTTACTAGAGATAATTGGTATTTAATGTGTTTTGGGTGTCTTTTCTCAATTCCCTCTCAATTTGTCCATTGCAATGTCTATTATTATTGTCAATAAATTACTTTTTTTTATATTTTAAAAAAAGAGTATAGATTTATGGAGGAATAAGAGAATGAAATTGCTTAGTTGAGTTGGCTGATTTTGTGAGAAGTTTATATTCTCTCTTTACCTCATTGTAGGTGTGGTGATTGCAGTGGGAGAGTGTCTTCCATTGCCAGAAGAGAACCCCTTGGGAAGAGGAGACTTGGTTTGCCAAAAAACAAAAAAACAGTGCCATTTTTAGGAGCAGCAAGGAAAGTGTCACAACAGTGACCCATTCTCCTCCTGCTATATCTACACACAAAATGAATCATTTATAGTGACTAAAAACTGGTCATCAAAGGATATCCAGAGTCCAAGTTAGGGTTTCTGTTACTTTTAGCTTTTTTGTGTTCCATCTGGGTTATTTGTTATTGTTGCATTTTCTAAAGATTTTAACATTTTTTGCTTTTTTTTTTCTTCCAAATGTCAGGTGTATAAAAATGGCAATTGTCCATGATATTGCAGAAGGTAATAGCTTTGCATTTAAATTTTTATTTATCTATTAGGTTCTCATATGTATCCTTTGGCTGATAAAGTATGCTTCATAAAAGAAAAAGGGTTAATTACACTTTTATCTCCTTCACTATCACCATTTTTTTTTAGTTTGAGCTCATTTGTCCGTAAACTATCACCATTTTTTTCCCTTTTAGGCTGCTTAAAATTCAGAAAATTTTATGCTTTTTATTTATAAGCATGAGGCTGTGAGTTGTGGGTTCCTCAACCTTGAGGTTGTGGATTCGAGGACAACCATTTAGTACAAATAATGCCAAAGCTAGGTAACCCAATCTATCCCCTCCCAGACCCCTATCCAACGGAGACTAAATTGGGCTCACTTTTTTTAAATTTTATTTATAAGCATGAAAAAGATCACTCTTTGTGGAGTCAATGCAATGCATAGCAACTTTCAAATTGTTGCCAGGAATCTTAATAGATGCAGAACATGGATGCATGGTCAATGAATGATATAGTTCTGCTGGAGTTGGATGCTTAATCCATTTGTATGTGTGTGTGTGTGTTTGGAAAATGTGATGGGCATTTGCTTCTTATTCAGATTTTTGCTTTGAGATTTAGAATCCTTCAGTTCCATTTACAACAGTTGGATTGTGAAGTACCTGGTCAATTTTAGTCCCATTTTATCTTTATTCCCTGACGTAGTAAACACAACCATTACTAGATTCTGTAAATTTTACGTGCTCTATTATTACTAGGGAGCAAATGAAAAAGATTTTACTCCGGACATAATTTTTGATATTTCCCCTATTTTGTTTCGCCATTAATCTTGAATTATTCTTTCTTGCACATTACAAATATGGAAACAGTTTCTCAGTATGTTGGAAGTAAAATTGTATACATTTGATTGTTCCCAAACCTTAGCTTTTCTTAGATATTCAATAACTCCTACTATTGATGTGTACAGGGAATACATAATAGCACTCAAATTGGCAAATGAAGGAAAATTTCAATTCTTTGCTTTGTTTTGTGGACCCTTGGGGGTCTCAAACAAGTTAGCACAAATAAAACAGAATTAAACTATAAACAAAAGAAATGAGGTTTAATGATAAAGATGGATTTCAACCAGTAACAGAGAAACGAATTTAATGTGGACATTGTTTTATCACTTTTCCTCCATGTTTGTGCATCTTTATTGCAGGATATGAAAACAGAAAATACATTAAACAAAAACACAACCATGCCATTGATTCCGATTCTCTCCTTTTTTTTTATATAAAACAAATTATTAAATGAAACTCATTCTCCCATATGAATAGATATACACTTAATTTTCTGACACCATTGTATAGACACACACACACACAAAAAGCAATTCCTACATGTGCTAGCTATAATTCTCCGAATTCCTGTACGCTTGAAACTGGGAAATTATTGATTTATACAACTTAGAACATGACATCCATTTGTGTACACCTGAACTTATTGGAATTGGGTCAGAAACAATCCCTGGAGAGGGTCACTCTTTCTGCACAAGCTGCTCAACATCTCTAAGCTCCACTCCACTCCCTTGCCGCTCATGTTCACTCTGAAACAATGCCTCAATCTGCTCCAGCGATTTTCCTTTTGTTTCAGGAAAGAGAGAAATCAGATTCTAAGAATTTTTTAAACTGAAATAGAGTACTTGGGTTTTTTAACTACTTTCATGTTGTTGCTCTGTAAAATATTCTCAGTCATTGATGTTGTGTAAACTTATATAGATTTGGTTTGGTGTGGATGTTTGCTATGTGGATTTTGATCAAAAACACCATTTTCATGTTGGCATGGGGTGCTCCAAAGGGAGAATGGAGAATTCTCTATACATGATTCCAATATGTATGTCTATATATGATTCCAAACCCCAAACCCATCTATATAATAAGGGAGAAGGGTTTTTGAAAATATATAAAATGTATCAGAGATACATTTGATATTAACGGATAAGATGAATTTAAGTTTATATCGATGGTTCAGATGAATGACGATTGCCGCCTAAATATACCCACGTTTGACCCTTACAGAGTAACAGAGTACTCATTTTGATTTTGATTTTGATTTTGATTTTGATTTTGATTTTTGTTTTTCTAAACCTTAAATTGATTTGTTAATTAGGTATTTTCTGGATATCATTTTTAGGTATTTCGATTGCTCTAAAACAATTCGGTTTCAAAGAATTTCGGTTTCAGAGCTCTCTGTATACACCGCTTCCATAGATCAGTGAGTGTTTTTGTGTTTTATTTTTTGATGGTGACTTCAATTCCATTGTGGGTTTCGATTAGTTTGTAATTGTGTTTATGTATAGTTGATGTGTTTCAAATTATGTTGATTTGTTTGTACCCAATTGTGTTTGTTATTGCCAAAAAAAAGAGAATTTTTATTGGGTTTTGAGTTTTAAGACTTAATAGAAGTAGTTTTGTTGGTGGGTTGGTGTCCTTGGATTTGTTTGATGGAAACTTAGGAGTTCTTCTACGTTTGGAGCTAATTTGGTGAGCTGGGTCTGAATTTGGAGGTGAATTGAAGAGTGGTGAGTGGTTGTCAAGCTCTGAAGAATAAGTTATTCTCTTACTTTCTCTCTCTACCCAACCCCGAACCCCCTATTCCTCTGTTTCTTTCTTTGAATTTATTTGGTCTAATGTTTAGTTTGGTGTGATTTTGATTGACTTTTGTTAGGTTGTTGTTGCCTCAAGCTGTTGCCTTAAGTTATTTGGTGTGATTTTGATTTTGCTATTGCCTCAATTTGATTCATGTTAATTTTGATTTTGATTTTGTCTCAATTTTAATTTTGATTTTGTTGTTGCCTCAATTTGATTTTGCTATTGGCCTTAATTTAACTTCGCTCTTCTAATTTCTCTCTAAACTTGGGAATTTGATTCACGAAATTTTTTCTATTTCAACATAGTCAAGTTTCTTGAGGCAACAACAAAATCAAAATCACACCAAATAACTTCTCTCTTCTAATTTCTCTCTAAACTTGGGAATTTGATTCATGAAAATTTGTTTATTTCAACACAGTCAAGTTATTTTTTTTGGGTGAAAATAGTGTGGGTCTTTGTATATTAGATCAGTCTTTGTATGTTATTAAAATAGTATATTTGTTGCAGTGAACCAAAATAGTATCTTTGTTGCCATTAATAACCTACAATATATTTGGGTTTTGATATATTGTTTACAGCTTTTTGAAATCTATATAAGTAACCAAACACCATAGAGAAAGGTTGATCATCAAGGATTTCTGAGAACCTAAGAAAACAAGGAGAAAAGAAAATGGAGAGAGAGAGAGAGAGAGAGAGAGAGAGAGGAAGGTGGGAAGGTGGGTATGCTTTTTGAATACTACTTAAATTGTAGAAACATGCATACATCTGTATGTATGTTTTTTTGAATATATTTGGTATTTGGTTACTTCTATTGAATATTTAGGGTTTGATTTCTATTGAATATATTGTTACAATTTTTATGATTTATTTTTTTTTTTTAGAAATTAGAGAGCTTAAAAAAAATGATTTGGAAAAAATATTTGACTACAATATATGGTTGTTAGTTTTTTTTAAGATTTTATGAAAATGACAGAAATTACTTGGTATATGCGAAATACATACATCTCAAGATTAGTTGGGACATAATTTTGAATATGTTGGTGAGCTAAAAACAAAAAATCAAAAAAAAAAATTGTATTGTCACATTTAATTTATCAGTATTCTATATCTTAACCAGTATTTATATATAAATTCATTCTATTCTATATAAAGTGAGTGGGGGTAGATGGAGGAGTGTCTTGAGAAGGGGACTTCCTAAAGAATTTGTATGGGT